TAGATATATAATATTATGTTTTAGAATCAGAAGTGTGTGTTCTTTTACTATTTGGGGCCTCTTGCTATCCCATGTAAAGTTGAGGATTGGCTTTCTGTTTCCACAAAGAAGCACTAATGGAATGTTGGTTGGGATTGCATTGGATCTACAGATTGCTTTGGGTAGTATTGACATCTTAATATTAACTTTTCAATCCATGAACATTTTCCCATTTATTTAATTCTTTAATCTCTTTCAGTAATATTTTGTCATTTTCATTGTGCAATTCCTTCATGTCCCTGTGTAATTTTATTCCTAAGTGTTTTATCCTCTTAAATGCTATTATTACAAGTGGGATTGTTTCCCTAATTTCCATTTTAGGTTTTTCATTGCTGGTATATAGAAGTCCAAACTGATGGGTAGTTATGGTTTCTATATTTTGTACATTTTCTTAAGCTTTTATATAGTTTATTAAAAAGTTTAGTGAATGCTTTAAAAATAGTCTTTTGGTCTTATTGCGACTCCCCTTTTGTTGTTAGGTGCTGTACAGCAGGTTCCAACTCATAGCGACCCTGTATAGGGTTTCCAAGGAGTGGGTTTGAACCGTCAACCTTGCAGGGGCTGCAGATGCTGAAAGGAGACAAGGACCTTTCACCAGAGTTGACAACAAAAGGAACCCTTCCCCTAGATTCAGCATTCTGAATTTGGACTTCTAGGTGTTGGTAAGTGCCATCCGAGTGGGTTGTAACTCATAGCAAGTTGGAATAGGATTTCCAAGGTGGCTGGTGGGTTTGAGCTGCTGGCCTTGTGGTCAGCAGTCTAATTAATGCTTATCCAGTGTTGCCACACCAGGTTTCCCTGGATTTACGGCCTCCTAAGGTGTGAGTCCTGGTGTGGCAATGTGGGTTAATGCGCCAGACTGAAAAGCCGTTTGAACTGCAAGGTTGGCGGTTCAAGCTCACCAGCTGCTCCTTGGAAACCCTATACAGGGTTGCTATGGGTCAGAACCGACTTGATGGCACTTCACAACAACAACAACAAAAGGTGTGAGTCGGGCTGCTAACCTCACAGTCAGCAGTTTGTAACTATGAGCGGTTCCGTGGGAGAAAGATGAGGCTTTCTGCTCCTGTAAAGATTTATAGCCTCGGAAACCCTGTATAGGGTTGCTATGAGTCGGAACCGACTCCACAGCACATAACAAGAACAACTTGTATTACAGCAGTACTGGATACCTAAAACACTTACTGAAACCTACTTGAAACCCCCAAATCACTACTCACGCCACTTTTGCAGTCATTTATGAGCATCTGCAGAAAACAGCAAGAAAATCTGGTCAAACAAGGTCTTCCTTCTTGTTTCAGCTTTGATGATATCAACAAGTGCCCTTATTGAGGTCTGTTTTGTGCATTATTTTTTGTGTGTGTGTGTATCTACATTTTTGTTCGTGATTTCACTCTTTAAAATGGTCCCCAAATGTAGTGTTATCTCTGGTTCTTAATCTCAAGAAGATTGTGATGTGTACCTTATATTGTTCAGGCATGTGCTGTTGGCTGTGAGTTTAATTTTAATATATCAGCAATATATACTGCTTTTTGAAGTAGTAAGTCATAGTATGTATTAATTGAGGTGTCTTTAATACACAAAAACATAAAACAAGGCTTTTTATCAATTGACTGATGAAAATGCTGTGGCCAGAATCTCACAGGAATCTAATCCATATTTTTCCTACCAACAGTGGTTCAGTATTTGTTAGTTATGTTTCATGGAGATGTTATAGGACATTAGTACAGCTAATATCAAGAATCTACTGTATTAACTAAATGAATTTCCATAAAATAGTTGCAGCATATTTTCAATCATCACTGTACCTGAGACAGAAATTATTATTGTTGTTGTTAAGTGTTGAGTCACATCCACTCTGTATAGGGCTTCCGAGAAGTGGCTGGTAGGTGTACAGTTAGCAGCCTAGTGATTATCCTATAGGGTCACACCAGGACCTCAGAAGAGACGCTGTGAGATTAAGATAATAACTTCTTACTTGTTTTAGAAAATTTATTGTATTATGTAGCAGTGAGTAAGACAGGGGAATTGCTTTCAAGAAATAAAGAATGAAGAAACTTTCTCTAGTAGATAGAAGTTGATATCAATGCTTTCTTTAATTTGCTTTGGGAAATAATTTTTATTCAGTGTATATGTTTAACTTCAGACAGTTTCCAGAGCTCCTTCCTAGTGTCCTACTGTGAATTAATCTGCCTCAAATTGTATATTCTTGTCTATAAAAATTAGGTTTCAAAAACATGTTTGTTCTTTGATAGAAGTTGTTGTTGTTGTTAGGTGCCATCGAGTTGGTACTGACTCATAGCGACCCTATGTACAACAGAATGAAATACTGCCTGGTCATGGGCTAACCTCACAATTGTTGCCACACTTGAGCCCATTGTTGCTGCCACCTGGCCATTCCCTCTCTCTGGGGGTCTTCCTCTTTTTCTCTGACCCTCCACTTTACCAAACATGATATCCTTCTTCAGCGACTGTTCCCTCCTGACAATATGTCCGAAGTATGAGAGACAAGGTGTCCTGGCATGATGCTGTAGATTAATGTGCCAGACTGCAAAGCTGTTTGAACTGCAAGGTCAGCGGTTCAAGCTCACCAGTCGCTTCTCGGAAACCCTGTATAGGGTCGCTATGAGTTGGATACAACTTGTCAGCACTTAATAACAACAATGAGAGACAAAGTCTGACCATCCTGGCCTCCAAGGAGTACTCTGGCTGCACCTCTTCCAACACAGATCTGTTCTCTTGGCAGCCCATGGCACTTTCAATATTCTCCTGCAACACCATAACTCAAAAGCATCAATTCTTCAACGGTCTTCCTTATTCACTGTCCAGCTTTCGCATGCATATGAGGTTATTGAAAATACCATGGCTTGGGTCAGGCGCACCTAGTCCTCAAGCTGACATCTTTACTCTTCAATACTTAAAAAAGGACTTGTGCAGCAGGTTTGCCTAATGCAATACGTCGTCTGATCTCTTGACTGCTGTTTCTGTGAGTGTTGATAGTTGATCCAAGAAGAATGAAGTCCTTGACAACTTTAATCTTTTCTCTGTTGATAAGAATGTTGTTTATTGGTCCAGTGGTGAGGATTTTTGTTTTCTTTACACTGAGATGCAATCCATATCGAAGGCTGTGCTCTTTGATCTTCATCAATAAATGTTTTAAATCCTTTTCACTTTCAGCAAGCAAGGTTGTATCACTTGCATATCACAGGTTGTTAATGAGTCTTCCTCCAATTCTGATGCCACGTTTTTCTTCATATAACCCAGCTTCTCTGATAATTTGCTCAGCATACAGGTTGACCGAAGTAGGATATTTAAATTATTGCTGAAAAGTGGAATTTAAGATTTATCCTAATCTTTTGTGCACATTATTTTATTATATAATAACTACTAAAAGAAAACTATGTTTTCTATGCTAAAGATGCCCACAAACCAAGTAAACTCTTAATTTAAAATATCATGAGTCAATAAAAGGAAAGGCACTTCTACTAACTACTGAGCCTAATTAGCATTCTTTAAAATTCCTTATCAGGTATTTTGAGTTCCATTTTTGGTGTTACATGTTCTGACGCTGTGCTCACCATCTGTCTCCTGGTAGATATGGTAGAAACTGAAAGTGTGGATGCAGTTAATTCCCTGTTCATTGTTTGTATAGCATAGTTCAGGACAGGTTCATGTACCTCCAGAAGCATGGGCATAGAGTGTCTGACTCCAGGTAGAGCAGAGGATATGCAGGAGAGGGTGCCATTGGCCACTGAGTTGGCAAGGGTTGGGACTGGCTATGCCTCCGTCTACAGGGAGTGCACAGGAACAAGGAAGAACTACATCTCCTTGTCACCAACTTCAGCCGTGTCCTGTGCCCACAGGCTACTGTATCAAAAGTCACCCTGTAAAGCTCAGGATAGCTGTGCTACTGCCAGCCCATAATAGTTTGCCTGTTTTTCTTTTCTCTCACTGTCCCTGTTCAGCTTCGTTTTCTCGTTGGCACTCAATCCACCGCTCTATCTTGACCTCTAATGATCAGGTTCCAGGATCACCACCTGTGTCTGTGTCACTTGGTGTCTCATGTCTTTGTGGTAGAGTGTCAGCTCAGTGCGTCTGTTTACACCGCCATCTTGCCCTGGATTCTTAGTTTAGTTTGGGCATGTTCAGTTTGGTGCATCTGTGGGATTCTAGGTGGAAAAGTTATTTGACTATCTGTTCAAATAAGAGATTTAGCAGGAGTAAAAATGGTAGTAGAAATCTCCATTGCATTATTTTTTGTTCACTTGACCCATTTCTTTGAAATTTAACATGTAAATCAAGAATTAATTTACCATGTATTAGGAATAGTGAACAAAATAGACATCGCCTCTACCCTCTTGGAGTTTGCAGACACAGAAACTTAAAACTGAAGAATCTTTACAGAATTAGCTGACAACTTCTTAAATTGCTGTCTAAATGAAATTGTCATGCGAGAGCCCTGGATTATATCTGGTTTATAAATTCCAGAGAAAAATGCTTTATAACAAATCAAAGTGAATACCAGCATATGCAGGCCTTGAAATTGATGCAAAAAGAAAATTCTGGTGGTAATTTCTGAGACCAGAAAAAAATAATCTTGAAGAGAGATTCTAGGATCTTATTTATTTGTCTTTTCCTCTTTTACTGTCTTTCCCCTTTTACTACTTTTATAGCATCATTATAATTTCCTGAGTAGAGATATTTTTAAATAAATAATTATTTTGTTATTGTATTTTTTAAGTGCTGTTGAGTCAGTTCTGACTCATTGCCACTTATATAGGGGTTCTGAGGAGCAGTTGGTGGGTTTGAACCACCAACCTTGTGGTTAGCACTTCAGTACTTATCCTATGGTGCCACACCAGGAGTAAAATTATTTTTTTAAAACCAGATTTTTTAATTTGGTCTTGCACTCTCAAGAGTTTATTGAAAATATAATACTAATGTAACTTTAACAACCACAGATACCAGGAGGCAATTCAGAAATGGGATGAAGCACTTCAGTTAACCCCAAATGATGCTACCCTGTATGAGATGAAATCACAGGTAATGACTATGAAGAATTTTATTTTCCTTATGAAACTGTACTGTCTGTTTGGTGAGCAAGATGAACCAATATAATATTTCTCCTCATTTTCTTTTTCAAGTACAATTTACTTGGGGCTTAAAAAAAATTTTTTTTTTAACCATATTATTTATGTTGTTGTTAAGTACCATCAAGTCGGTTCCGACTCATAGCGACCCTGTATAGTGTTTCCAAAGAGCAGTTGGTAAGTTTGAACTACCGACCTTGTAATTCAAACTGACTTTGTGGTCCAGTAAATTATCCTGTATGTCTTTTGTGTAAAATCAGAAATTAATTTGCCTTCACAATGAATTTGACTGTCATTTCAACCTAAGGTAAGATGTGAGCAGATGGATCTCTTTTAAGAGTCACTAGTGCTCTCCTGAATAAATAAAAAGTATCTACTTTCCTTGGAAATTGGAATGGACTTGGCATTAGCTTTTAGTTCATTCAAGATGAAGATGGATTGTGTTCTTGAAGATGAGATTTCACTAAAAATGGCCTAGTCCTTAGTGAAAGGTCAGAGTTCACTGTGTTTATTAATAGTCTAAAAATAATATTTATATTTAAAAAATACATTTAGAATATTTTGTGGGAAAGTCCATAAAGAAAATCTTTGAGTGCTTGTTTAAGATTCTCCAAGAGACTTCTAAAAACAAAACATTAAAAATATTTTTGTCACGGACTAGTTATGATTCAGCCTTTGATTTTAATTGATACAGAGAAAACCCAAATTATTTCCACTGATTGAAGTACTATGAGGATCTTCATTGTGATAAATCTTTAATTTTCACTCTTGAATGTGTATGTATTCAAGACAGCATTTGTGGCAAACTGTATGAAATGAATTGCTTAATTTAGAACCAGATAATAGTGGCCTGTCACAAAACTGGTATGCAACAGTCCTAAAGATGATAGATAAAATTCATCCCTTTCCCATATACTGAGGTAGAGGTTTCTGGAGTGCCCTGACTTTTTCGGTTTATGTGATTTGAAGAACTTGATGTTGGGAAACCCTTTGTAGTATTTAAATGATCTTTATGGCAGGAAGATGTTAACTTCTTGGCTGAACAAATGTGAATTTACTTAGTTTGACAGCAAGATTTGTGATGTCTGAAAAGCCACAATGTCAATAGAATAAATAGAAGGAATTAAGGGTTCACAGATATTAAAGACACCATGGCTAGAATATGACCACCTGGTTTTGGTCAGATTTGCATGTTGTTGTTATTAAGAGCTGTCAAGCCTGTTCCATCTCAAAGCTACCCTGTATAGGGTTTCCAAGGAGTGGCTGGTAAGTTTGAACAGCCAACATTATGGTTCAAACCGACCTTATGTCCCTGTGTTTATTCTGCAGAGCCATACCAAAAGCCAATAATTGGAATGGGAATAGTTTATATTTTCATAGCTATAGATGGGCTAAAAAGAATACTATAATTCCAGACTCTTAGTGACAAAGGAGGGGGTAAAACCCACTAAAGTGCTATGTTTATTCTTGTTAAGTGCTGTTGAGTCAGTTCCAACTCATCATGACCCTGTAGTGGTTTTCTGAGGAGCGGCTGGTGAGTTGGAACCACCAACCTGGCAGTTCAAACTGACCTTGTAGTCCAGTGCTAATCTTATAGCATCACAACAGGACACCATGTGCTATGTTTATGAGACTAAAAATACAGTTTTTAAAAAACTGAAAAGAATTGTTTATGTATGATTACCCAGCAATTGTTTATCAGTAGTTGGCTATTTTATGAATATTATTGACAAGTTGTTTTTTTTCTTCTTCTTTAATCTTTTTGGCTATATAGGTCCTGATGTCTCTTCATGAAATGTTCCCTGCAGTGCATGCAGCGGAAATGGCTGTTCAGAGAAATCCACACTCATGGGAGTCTTGGCAAACTTTGGGACGTGCTCAGCTTGGATTAGGAGAAATAGTCTTGGTAAGAATGTCAGATTATTTTAGAGCTAAACTTTTAAGTTCATTTTTGATTAGCTGAGCCCAAAGTTAAGTTTTCCAGTTAGCAAATCTATACAGAAAATAGTTAAGTATCTCTTAAAGATTTGAATCAATATATATACACAGATCAAAGGTGTTGCTAGACATCTTTTTCCATTTTAAACACTAATTATATTAAAGTGAAAATATTTTTCATATACGTGGTGTCACGAAATAAAAGAAATAACACAAAACATTGATATTTGGTCAACCTTATTATTTATTAAATAGAAAACAAGCAATTTGTTAGTTCTTTGGATTATTAAATTTCCCATAATATAAAATAAATACATTAGTATATATACCACTAATATACTCATTTTATATTTTGAAGTCAAGACTATTAATAGATTTTACCAAAGAAGGTAGAAGATAGATTATGAGAGGGTAATGATAAAGGTTTAGATTGAAATGTTGCTAAGCTGTACTTAGGGAAAAAATGGGGAATGATAAAAATTTATTAGGATTAAATATGCATTGTATGCAAATCTAATATGTTGTTAGGTGCCATCGAGTCAGCACCGACTCATAGTGATCTTATGCACAGCAGAATGAAACAATGTCCGATCCTTGGCCAACCTCACTACTGTTGCCACGCTTGAGTCCATCAATGCTGCCACCTGGCCATTCTATCTCGTTGGGGGTCTTCCTCTTTTTCTCTGACCCTCCATCTTACCAAAGATGATATCCTTCCCTGTCAGTTCCCTCCTGACAATATGTCTAAAGTATGAGAGATGGAGTTTGGCCATCTTGACGTATAAGGAACACTCTGGCTGCACTTCTTCCAAAACAGATCTGTTGGTTCTTTTGGCAGCCCATGGCACTTTTAGTGTTCTCCTCCAACACCACAACTCAAAGGCATCAATTCTTCTACGGTCTTCCTTATTCACTGTCCAGCTTTCGCATGCATATGAGGTTATTGAAAATACCCTGGCTTGGGTCAGGCACACCGTA